GAGAAAGCCCAACCATAACATCTGAAATCTGGTGGAGGTAACCTCCTCCCAAGCTGAGCCAGACGATTCTTCACAGTAGGAGCTGCTGCTGATACCTCGCCTGGGGGTGCGATATTAAGACCCATAATCCCTGGTCGAAGACCGCGAATATAATGATACCCATTAGAACCGGGAGTCTTATGGTGGTAGGTATATCCACAATGAACTCGATCAGCATCATCGGTAAGATGCCAGGACATCTGTCGCTCTCCGGCCTGTCCCTTTAAATGAGTGAAAGAATGCTGACGAGGAATGGAAGGAATATACAGGAGAGCTCCTTCATCATTATTCAGCCAATGCTCATCAGTAAGAATCAAACTAGTCGGATCCTCAATGTGATCTCAGAACAGAAAACTGGGCTTCTTTAAAGCCTGAGTAGAAATAGAATCCGCAGTAAAAGGAGCATCCGTGATCAGCTGGCGTAAGCAATGACGTCCCCCATCTTGTATCAAACGACATGATTCATCGGAATGATCTCTATCAAACTGAGGAAGCGGGCCAATAGCCTGCCTGATGGAAACCGAAGAGAAAACCTCCCCACTACAACCGGTAGTAGCATGAGGAGAGAGACTGCCCGTAGGGAACTCGACTTGCAACAAAACAAGGATAGAGTCAGAAAATTATCCATAAATTAAATCCATCTCATAAAAAAAGCGAGACAAGATCATCCACGGGGTAATTGGAGAGACGATTTTGAGTGTCTTATACTGGAGGAACGGTATGCATCATCACGTAAATAACGTGGTAACATACACTAACCTACAAGGTATAAGATGACACAAAATCGCCCCAATATACCGGAAGACTTGAATTGGCCAAGCAAAACAAGTCCGAAACCTCGACCCCCGCGAAGGAGGGTGTCGGCCCTTCCCGAATGACCCGCGAAGGGGCCAAACGAGGGTGTGACAGAACCGTGAATTTCCCGAAACCTCGACCCCCGCAAAGGAGGGTGTCGGTCCTTCCCGAATGACCCGCAAAGGGGCCAAACGAGAGTGTACTGGAACTACGAATATCCTGAAACCTCGATCCCTGTGAAGGAGGATGTCGGTTCTTCCTGAATGACCTGCGAATGGATCAATCAGGGATATAGAAAGTATAAATGCTCACCCCCGAAAAATGATGCCGCTGGAGAGGATGCCGTGGGAACCTCTCCCTCACTATGCTGGGAAAGGGAGCGACTCCTATGAAGTCGATGTCGACGTGGAGACATCGAGAATCTGCAATGAAAATCAACAGGTCAGGTACAATCTAAAATATGAATACACGAAATTTAAAAGGAAAATTAAGAACTTGAACTAAAGTCCTATAAATAAGTAGGATTTTACAGTTGAGGTCTAATTAAACCTACAAATTTTATGCGTACAAAACGATGAGCTCATATTGCAGTGTAAACTCTCATGATAATTCTTGGGTGAAATACCCAAAATACCCCTCGTATTCAAGGCTAAATTCTAGTCAAGGATACACTCATATCGGGTCATGATCATCATATTTGTCCATATAAAACCCCCAATATCCCACAATGTTGGTTAATTTTACAAATAAACCCTTTTGTAAAATTTAACCAATTTTGCAAATAAACCCCTCCACAAATTTCGGTTTAGTTTTCGCATACCTTTCTCAAAACCTTAGTCATGGGTTTGCGGTATAAACTTTTGGAATTTCAGCCCTAAAATTTCAGCCCTTTTGCAAATAAACCCTCCTACTTTTTTGGGTTGATTTTTGCAAATAAACCCCTCAAACAATATTGATTCTTTCGCATGAAAACACTCCTCAAAGTTCGGCCAAATGGGGATAAAATTTCAGTCCTAAATGTCAGCCCACTTTGCATAAAAACCCTCAAATTTCAGTCCACTTTTTCACAAAAAGCCCCTCAAATTCGGTCATAGTGTTGATTTTACATAAAACCCCCAAATCTTTGTGCATACACAACTCATCATCAAAGATCCTATTTTCTAATTCATGAGGGCAAAAAGCCACATTCTTTGCATACAAATTTATGAATTCTTGAATACATACCCCACACTACAAGAATAAAGTTTCAATCTTTCTTTTCTTTTTTAAAAAAAGGGGGAGAGTTTTAAGAGGAAACTTACCCAAATCAAGAGGTGTCCCTTGAGCTTGAGGATGAAGAAGGAACCCTAGTTTGAGAGGAGAGGAATTTCGGCCAAAAAAAGGAGCACCAAAAATCCGAAATTGATCTTGGGTTGAGGGGTTTTAAAGAAGAGAGGTTAATGGGTTTTGGAGTTCTTAAAGAAAGAAAATAATGGTGGATGGATAAGAGGTAGAAGAAGAGAGAGTTTGGGAGGGAATAGAATCCTTTGGAAATTTTGGAAAGAGGGGGAAAACAAAAGAGGAAACAAAACCAAAACAAGAAAGGAAACAAACAAAAAAAGGAGAAAAGAAGAAAGAGACAAATGAGAGGGGGGTCTCGGTTTTTGAACCGAGACACCCTAGGATGTCTCGGTCTTGGCCGAGACACCCTAAGGTGTCTCGGCCAAGGTTGAGACACCCACGGGTGTCTCGGCCCAGTTTGAGCCCCCGATTGTCCTTTTCAAGCCCGAATTCGCCCATTTTCGCCGGTGGTTGGATGTTTCGACAAAATCAATACCAATCAACACCAAATGATTCAAAACCCTAGGGGCAACGCCGATCAACACGTAACCCTAGGTCAACGCCAGTCAACGCGTTGCGATCAAAAAGTCAACGTACGACATTCGAAACCCTAGGGTCAACGCCGGTCGACGCGTAACCCTAGGTCAACGTCATTCAATGCGTTGCGATCAAATGTCAACGTATGACGGTTCAAAACCCTAAGGTCAACGCTGGTCAACGCGTAACCCTAGGTCAACGCCAGTCAACGCGTTGTGATCAAAAAGTCAACGTACGACATTCGAAACACTAGGGTCAATGCCGGTCGACGCATAACCCTAGGTCAATGCCAGTCAATGCATTGCGATTAAAAGTCAACATACGATGGTTCAAAACCCTAAGGTCAACGCTGGTCAACGCGTAACCCTAGGTCAACGCGTAACCCTAGGTCAACACCAGTCAACGTGTTGCGATCAAAAAGTCAACGTACGACATTCAAAACCCTAGGGTCAATGCCACGCGTAACCCTAGGTCAACGCCAATCAATGTGTTGCGATCAAAAGTCAACGCATGATGGTTCAAAACCCTAAGGTCAACGCTGGTCAACGCGTAACCCTAGGTCAACGCCAGTCAACGCGTTGCAATCAAAAAGTCAACGTACGACATTCGAAACCCTAGGGTCAACGCCGGTCGACGCGTAACCCTAGGTCAATGCCAGTCAATGCGTTACGATCAAAAGTCAACGTACGACGGTTCAAAACCCTAAGGTCAATGCGTAACCCAAGGTCAATGCCAGTCAACGCGTTATGATCAAAAAGTCAACGTACGACATTTGAAACCCTAGGGTCAACGCCGGTCAACGCGTAACCCTAGGTCAACGCCAGTCAATGCGTTGCGATCAAAAGTCAACGTATAACGGTTCAAAACCCTAAGGTCAATGCTGGTCAACGCGCAACCCTAGGTCAACGCCAGTCAATGCGTTGCGATCAAAAGTCAACATTCGACGTTCGAAACCCTAGGACCAACGCCGGTCAATGCATAACCCTAGGTCAACGCCAGTCAACACATTGTGATCAAAAAGTCAATTCAATGACATGAGCCAAACTCAACTCATCAGTTGTAGATTTGAGACTTCGGCGATGGCCAGACGATAAACGCAGCGCCGGAAGGATTTTAGCTGTTCATCAAAGCATCGAGTAGACCGAAAATCGAAGGAGTCAAAAATCAAAGCTAACTACAGGTCCTTTTGCCGACTGAAGGTTGGACCAATCACATCCAAAGTATTACAGCCTCTTCTACAAAAGAAACGAGTCTGGAACGCTTTGGAGGGGGTATCTGTAGGCATCGAAAATTACCTATAGGTCCCCACGAATAGCTCAGTATTAAGAAATAACGATGAACGTCACCATCTGGTTCACAGAAGCTTGATTGATGTCGGTGAATGCTTGAAGTAAACCGACGAACTACGTGAAGCAACGGAGTTTCAGAATAACGAGACACGAACTGATTGGGAACCTCGTATCGTTCACAAACGACAAAATACCCTTTGTGTCTCATTTATTCCATGGATGATTTAATCATTGGAGCTTATAGAACTCCTCGTCGGCTTTCCAACGCACTTTGAATCACTCAAATCCGAGTTCGGACGAAGAATTTACGGCGGAAACAATCAAACAGGCATCGAAAATGTCTCAGGCTAAACTGAGACACCTAAGGTGTCTCGGCCAAGGCCAAGACACCCTAGGGTGTCTCTGCCATGACCGAGACACCCTTGGGTGTCTCAGCCCAAGCCGAGACACCCAAGGGTGTCTTGGCGCAGGTTTAGACACCCTGGGGTGTCTCCAACGCAGAAATGGTCAGTTAGGTGGTTTTAACCACCCGAAACCCCCTGGAGCCTATAAATACAGCCCCGGGTCCTCATTTTTTCAGATCTGGAGTTTTAGATAATTGGCGAAGCCCTGTCGGACTGAAGAGTGATCGAGTTCTTCAACGCAAGAGATCAAGAGTCGTCAGATCTGCATCACCCGCATCCGATCCTTAGTATTATCCCGTTGTGGTAATTCTAAGAAGAACAATTATCTCGTTTTTGTCGAGATAAGCACTTCTGCTTCTAGATTCCTTCGCGGATCGACGAAGTTCTAGACCTGATCTGATTGCCAGGTAGTCCACGGATATCAACGTCCCCGTCACCGGCTAAAGACTCACGCAAGCAAGAAACGACGAACGGATTTTGCGTTATTTTCGAAAAGTTGTAATCTTTCATTTTCTTATTCTTTTTATTGAATATCTTGAATTATTTGTAAGCGATCCAGATTATAATGAATTCGACAATGAAGGCAACTTTCTCCGAAAACAGTATTTAATTGCAGGGATGTGTGGGCTTTCTTATTGACCTGCAAGGTTCAGTACTGCAGCTTATATGACAAGGGGTAATACGTTGAAATACTATTGCTTCTTAGATTCCATTTTTGACTTTATCTATCTGCTCTATATCACCCCTCATGTACTTTTCTCATTTATAGCAAAAGAAAAGATGATATCATTTTATAATTGTTATGATCTGTGAAGCACTAATATGGATAATAGAACAAAATTTGTCACCACAAAGTTACACAAATATGAAAGATATCAAAGCTTTCTAATTTAGAACACAAATAATTAAATAAAGTATGGACACCCAAAAAGCACAGTCTTTATGGTAAATCCTAAACAAGGCATACTCTTTGTAATTCTAAGATTTGAAAAATACATATCGTATCTCATGCGGTCAAAACTAAACTTTTGTTGTTAAACCTTAATTCTTAGTTTGATTAACTTGATTCTTTGATTCTTAATTGTTGTAGATAGTAAAAGAAGCATACAAATGTTTGGGGTATTTTAATTCAATATGTGCCTATTATATATATACATATACAAATGTGTGTATATCCGTGTCCCTGTATCTTGCTTTTTACAAATTTATTGTGTCCCATGTCCGTATCCGTGTCCGCACCCGCACCCCTATCCGTGCAGCCTAGGATTCCCTCCTTTATTAGGCAGTTTTTCTATATGAATGATAAGCTATGTCTTGCTACCTACTAATAGCTTTGGAGGTGGTGTTGTAGTCAGACTTCTATCATTCAAAATAAATATTGCTTTTGCAAGCAATTTGAAGGGTGCGGTTCCTCTTAACCAGCCTTCCTGAAGTAGAATTGTATTATTAGGCAACCCACTTTTGCTGGACAGATTTTGTTAATGTTGTATTACTTGAAAAAGGCTAGGAGAGAGCAATTTAAAAAAAGTTAGGCTATGTTACCTAGGTATTTCTAATCTGAACCTGTATGTACACATGCCTGACACGTACATGTACTCAAACTTGTCGGATACCCCCTTGCATAGATGCGTACATTTATTTGGGCATGTATTTAATTCTGAAATGGTTGATCCTGGAGTCGGTGGAGTTCCAAATTATTTTCTTGGGGTGACGCTAGGTTTTTTGAGGCAAGTCCAGCAAGAGCAGTCTGCAATGGCTGTGGTATGCCTTACTTTTGAAATGCTAGATATTGATGTTTATTATCATTAGAATATACCATTTGTATAGACCCTCACTCTCCAAATTAGCTCCCAAATGAATTTTCAATTATAACTTACATGGTATACATACGAATGTACATATGTATGAATCTACGTATATATGTTTCTCACGTATCTGATATTTTATGTCACATAATGTATACTGCTTTATTGTTCTGCGTTGTAACTATGATTTGGCTCGTATTCATGTCTATTAATTTTTTTTATTAATATAAATGTATTGTGATAATAGCGGGTGCATGGGGCCCTGAAGAAAAGTGGTGGTGGAAAAGGTGTTGAATCTCTGACTTGTAGTTGAT